GGTGTAATCGAATGTTTTGGCAATGTTCGAAATTCGGAAAAAATCGAATTTCAACCCACCACTAACCATCCCTATGCTCTAGCACTAGAAGTTTGAGATATCCTAACCTCAAACTGTCAAAATCACCGGTTTTGGCGAGATTTGAGGTTATATAAAGAAAACAAATTTTGTTTTTGCTCATTTCTACTTAGGTCATGATTTTCGTTTGTTGGGATTCGATTTTTCTTTCTTAAGATATATCAGTTTAAATGTAGTGTATTACGTCGTAAGCATGCGTCATTATAGCATGTGGCTTTTCAATCGTTATGAGCCAAAAAGTTTTGTTTATTGATTTATGTATGCATTCTTGTAAATATTGTTAATTTTTTGTTTTTGTTAAATACATACAAACTGTTATGAAAAAAGCATCAATTGATTCAAAACCATTTGGTGCTTTTAGTGTGGTAAAACGCTTTTTTCCAAGTTTTTGGTGCTTTTTGAGAATCAGAAGTTGGCAACACTGCATATTCTACCGACAGCAATTATGCGGTGAGCCCATATATGTAATACTCCTATATTGGCAGTAAGAGCTAGTACCGTCTGAAAACACTACAGTACAGATATATCAATAAACACGTACAATAGAAAAGGAACACATACGTTTATAAATAAACATGTACACAACACATATACAAAAACGGCACTCAAGTACACAATTCATTGACAAAAACGGTACTAGACTGTCTCGCTTTGATTTCGGAATGCTTACACATTGAGAAGTTAGCTTACTGCCAATATAGAAGTATTACATATATGGGTGAGCCCAATTCCAAACGCCGCTCTTTCGTGTCCCGCTACAACGAATGCAAATGTGGCCAACAATAGTGTTGAGAGCGTAACAGATGCCGGTTCTCTCACGCATGCTGCTGCTGCTGCCAGCGTTGCCACTTGAAAATATTTTTAGATACCAAAACGCCTACCAAATCAGCTTCCAAACTACCAAAATTTTCTCATTATTCAAACGAGATTTCTCGAGTTTGCGTGATTTTTAGCTACACAAATTAGCAGTAAAAGGTTAAACTACACATAATATTGTTTACGGTATTGGTTAATTATTCGCAGCAATCTTTAAGATTAAACAAAATAAATTCGGGCCTTTAAATAAAATAATTAAGTTTTTGTATAAAAAACGCTTGTAAAATATGTTAATATCTTTGAGATTGATTCAATTCACATCAAAAATTTTTTTTGTGAGCGAAAAAACAAAAGCAGACATTTTATGCAATTCAATAAAAAAATTTCCAAATTTGATTCAATTTGCATGCACTCACCCTTTTTTACCAATACACTCACACTTTGCAAATTGCCTATCACCAATTTTTCTTTCAAGACGATAGGTAATTTCTCGTTAATTTCAACTGCTAATTGGTCATAGCTTTGGAAAGTGAGTTTTTGTTTGCAGAAAATTGACTGCGCAATAAAATATAGAAAAAAAATAAAGAAATCTTATACGTGTAAGCGAAGTGAAAGAAGTGGTTTGAACGTGTAAACTTAAATAAAGCGAACAAATTTTAATGTTCAATTTGGTTGGGTTTTCAAAACATTTTTGCCTACCAAAAGCTTCATCAAACCAACCAAGCTACCAACGGAGAATGGAGTTACCAATTTTGGTCCAAATCTTTCATTTCATTGCATCTCAGTCCATGGGAGTAGCCAGGTAGGGGCTACTACTATCAAATTTTCCTTATATATATATAAAATAGTACCCTGAAATACCAGCTTAATAGGGTCGATCCCCCCCCCCCTAAATTTCATTCTGGCTACGCCGATGTCTCAGTCGTATACAATGTTATTATTGGTGACAGGTAATAAGGTCAATGGATATAAGGTCAATTGACTTTATTTCCCATCCTGGTGCGAAATAAAGTCAATTGACATTATTACCTTTTCAAAAGCGAAATAAAGTCAACAAAAATTTGGAAATAAAGTCATTGACGCTATTACCTTATTCAAATGGAAATAGCGTCAACAATGCTTAAAGTATATCGATTCATAGAAAAAAATGTTGTTCTTACAATAAACATTGCCCCGTAAGTGTTGTTTTTTAACAGATGAAAAAGGTTATTGCCAAATAGTCAGTGTTGTGATATTAATCCACACAAAATCATGAACTACCACCATTTGATTTTATTAAAAAATTTAAATTACGAATATGTAAAAACACGATGCGAAAAACTAAACGCCTGCGCACAGCTGGAATACGAGAAATATTTGAAGAAAGAGTGTAGAAATGATCCATAACTTGCAAAACATTTTTCGTTTCCACAAAAATAAAGCGAACATTATTAAATTGAAGAAACAGTACATGTCCAAAAACCCCGGAGGAACACTGAAAGAATTCTGTGTTTTAAATTAGCATATTTTGAACGAATTCGGAATGTCTAAGGTGGAAAATAAACCAACTTTTCTATAAGGAAACAATTATAGAAAAAGAATTTTCTTACACTGTATTCATGTCACCGCCACCAATTTGTGACGACATCATTTAAAAGCAGCTAAGGAGAATGACGACACTATTTATTAGATGGCACATTCAACGAGCCAATGTGCCAAAATGCGGGTATAAACAATTATTGATTATTTAATATCGGA